TTATATTTGTCCTATGGCAAAACAAAAACGTTTGAAATTTCCTATTAGTTCTACTGTTTCTTCAAAAGTGTTTGATCTTATTCATTGTGATATTTGGGGGCCTTACAGAGTTGAATCTCACAATGGATACAAATACTTTGTTACTCTTGTTGATGATTATTCTAGGTTTACTTGGGTTCATTTTCTCAAGTCCAAATCTGATGTTTTAACTGTCATCCCTTCTTTCTTTCATATGGTTAACACTCAATTTAATTGTAATATTAAGGTATTCAGGTCTGATAATGCTCATGAGTTACAATTTACTCAGCTTTTTGCTAAGCTTGGTGTTCTTCATCAGTTTTCTTGTGTTTATACACCTCAGCAGAATGCTGTAGTTGAAAGAAAGCACCAACACATTCTTAATGTTGCTAGATCTTTATTGTTTCAGTCTCATATGCCTCTAACTTTTTGGAATGAGTGTATTTCTACTGCAGTTTTCTTGATCAATAGAACTCCTGCAGCTAAGCTTGATAATCTATCTCCATTTGAGCTGTTGTATCCTGGTAAGTTCTTTGATTATAATTCTCTCAGGGTTTTTGGGTGTTTAGTATTTGCTTCATCCTTACCAGCTCAGAGGTCAAAATTTCAGCCTAGAGCCAAACCTTGTATTTTCTTGGGGTATCCTGTTGGCATCAAAGGTTACAAACTTTATGACTTGCAGTCTCATCAAGTTCTCATTTCTAGGGATGTTGTGTTTCATGAACACATTTTTCCTTTTGGTGATCAAAATATGAATTTTGATAAATATTCAGCTCCTGATTATTCTGTTCCACCTTCTGTTGTTCCCATTTCTACTGACTCTGCTCTTGATGTTGATTATCTTCCTAGTTCTGTTGCTCCACAGGCTACTGGCTCAGTTCCTCCTCAGACTAGGAAGTCTTCCAGAGCCATTAAGCCTCCTGCCTATTTGGCTGATTTCCAGTGCAATTCTTCTATTGGTTTCAATTCTCTTTATCCTATTTCTAGTCATGTTGCTTATAATAAGCTTTCTGCAGATCATTTTGATTATATTATGCATGTTTCAGCTGAAACTGAGCCATCTACTTATAAACAAGCTGTGAAGAATCCTTTGTGGATCCAAGCCATGGATGATGAACTGCAAGCCTTGGAAGATAATCATACTTGGACTATAGAGCCATTGCCTGCTCATCAACACACTGTAAGTTGTAAATGGGTGTATAAAATTAAAAGAAAGCAAGATGGCTCTGTGGATAGGTATAAAGCCAGATTAGTTGCTAGAGGTTTTACTCAACAAGAAGGGGTAGATTTTATTGATACTTTTTCACCTGTTGCTAAGTTAGTTACAGTTAAAATTCTTTTGGCTTTAGCTGCTATTCATAATTGGGAGCTTCACCAATTAGATGTAAATAATGCTTTCTTGAATGGGGATCTTAAGGAAGAAGTCTTTATGGATATTCCTCCAGGCTATAAGCATTCCTCTGTTGCTTTATTTACATCTAGAATGGTTTGCAAGTTGCACAAGTCCCTATATGGTTTGAAACAGGCTTCAAGACAATGGAATCAAAAGTTCACTGAGGCAGTGACTTCCATTGGTTTTTCTCAGTCTCCTTCTGATCATTCTTTATTTACTAGAGGTTCTTCTTCTCAGTTTATTGCTTTAATTGTATATGTGGATGATATGATTATTGCAGGTCCCTCTTCCACTGAGATACAACAGGTTAAAACTCAGCTGCACTCATTTTTTAAGCTCAAGGATTTGGGCAAGCTCAAATTTTTTCTTGGTATTGAGATAGCTAGGAATTCTACTGGCATTATTCTTTCTCAAAGGCAGTATGTCCTTAAGTTATTAGAAGATGCTGGTTATTTGGGCTGTAAGCCAGCCTTGTTGCCCATGGATCCCAAGGCTCAGCTCAATAATGAAGATGGGGATCTTCTGGAGGATGTTTCTGAGTATAGGAGATTAGTTGGCAGGCTACTTTATTTAACCATTACCAGGCCAGATATTACTTATGCTGTGCATAAGCTTAGTCAGTATGTTGCAAAACCTAGGGTGCCTCATCTTCATGCCATTCATCACATCTTGAGATATCTCAAGTCTGCTCCTGGTAAGGGCATTTTTTATTCTGCAAAATCTTCTCTTACTGTTAAAGCTTTTGCAGATGCAGATTGGGGCTCTTGTCCAGACACTAGGAAATCCACCACAGGTTTTTGTGTCTTCATTGGAGATTCTCTCATATCCTGGAAAGCCAAGAAGCAAGCTACTGTTTCCAAGAGCTCTGCAGAAGCTGAATACAGGGCTTTATCTATGACTTCCAGTGAGCTCATCTGGATTCTCCAGATTCTTCAAGATTTCAATATCCCTATCAAGTCTTCTCTCCTGTTTTGTGACAACCTTGCTGCTGTACACATTGCTTCCAACCCAACATTTCATGAAAGGACCAAACACATCGAAATAGACTGCCATTTTGTGAGACAAAGAGTTGTGTCTGGCATTCTTAAACTCATGCCAGTTTCAAGCAAAGATCAATTGGCTGATTTGTTCACCAAGGCTTTACCATCTTCAAGTTTCAATCATCTTCTGGTCAAGATGGATGTTAAAGATATTTACTCTCCATCTTGAGGGGGGGGGGTGTTAATATATATGTATATGTTAATATATATATATTTCACATTGATAAATGTAGGTTTAGTTTTACTTTCATGTCATATAGAAGTTGTTATTTTCCAAATAGCACTTCTTCTTTTAGTTAAAAACACGCTTTTGTATAGTTGGATATAAATATCCAACTCACATCTCTTGTAACGGTAACTTTCATTTTTCTGTTGAATGAATAAGTTTTTCCCTCTTCTCTCTATCATCTTCTTCTTCCTCCATTCTGATAATCAGAAGATTATCAATATATATATATATATATATATATATATATATATATATATATATATATATATATATATATATATATATAGAGAGAGAGAGAGAGAGAGAGAGAGAGAGAGTGATGTGAAGAATATAAACAGGTATCCTCTTTTCTTTTTCTTTTTATTTATTTTATTTTTTTGCTTTAAATTATTTTGAAAGAAAGGCATGATAAAAATTGACATGCACGTAATGAAAATAATTTCAAATGCTTTGATGTGACTGAGAATCTAAATGCATGAACTTAGTCTACGGTTGAAATTAGTACATACAGTAGTACTATAAACATATTATTATTATTATTGCGCAAAAAAATGGAAATTCTAGATTAATTTATTACTAAAAAAAATTAATTATAAGAATATAGTGTACATGAGGTTTAATTAGAACGAATTAATTAGAAAAAAATAAAACCTCCAATCAATATGAAATTTATTTCCAGTATAAGGTTAGGGGTGGCCATGGACCCCGTCAATTTTTTTCGACCCTCAGTCGAAAAACATTCCACTATATTACACTTGCGTATTTATTAAGTCCATAAACTTTTATTATTTAGTCCACTGAAAATTCAAGTGAATTCAAAAAAAAAAGTCTTAATCTTTTCTTTTTTCTATCTTCTGTTTTTTATCAAAAAAAAAATATCCTAATTTTTTTTCGGGAGACCTGCCCCGTACGTAACCTCGAAAAGCCAATCTTGTAACAGTACCGTAGTTTTCCCATTCTTGAAATAATCATTGATCATTATATTCGACTCCGGATTAATAAAATTCTGGTTTCGCCACCAATTATTAACTTAATAGGACAAAAAAATGACTATGTGAGTTTACACCATGTTGTACGTGAAAAAATTATGTAGGACAAATATTTATATTTATATTTATATATATTTTCGTTAAGAAAATGATGATAAGGTAGCTACTGAAAATGAAATAGTGTAGTCTAGTAGTAGCTGGGGCTATGTGAAATGTGACAGACTGACTAAGTTATGATGACCAACTTTTACTAAATTGTGGGCAAAATTGAAATAGCCATTGGCTCAATTTGTCAGTTTCAATATCTAGTAATTTGATGGACCAGTCACACTGCGTCTGCACGATAACTCAGATGAGCCCGCATCTCTATGTTTAATTTTTACCCATTCATAAATACAAATCTTTCAATTTTAAATATTAGATTATAAATATTAGCGTAAATTACAACCACCCATGAGGTATGATCAAATTATAAAGATCCCCTCTTGTTTGGGTAATTATAACCACCCCTCAACTATAAATCTTCTTACAGTTTTACCATCGCGGTTTCAAATTTAGTGGAATCTTTGAGATTATATGGAATATTATCACTTTTGCACCCATTCGTATTCCACATTTTGAAGCAAAATGATCATAATATGTATTTTTTGGCTTGTATATATCAGATCGTGGTGCATCAAAAATTGTATTTTTACTCAAAACGAGTACAAACTAGAGCACATTCCATGAAATCGAGATGATTATGTTGAATTTGACACCATAAGGGTGGAGGTGTAAGAAAATATCATAGTTGAGGGGTAGATGTAATTATCCAAACAATAGGGTTTTTTTTTGTAAATTGACTATACCTTATGGGTAGTTGTAATTTACTCATATATATATATATATATATATATATATATATATATATATATATATATATATATATATATATATATATATATATATATATATATATATGATTTGTTCGACCCTACGCCCAGGTGAAAACACCGGGTGGTCTTTTGCTGCTGCCACGTGTCTCTTTTTTTGTATTTTATAATAGATTCCCCGCTAGGGTTTACCTTTAGGGGTTTTAGAAAAATAAAAAAAGTACACGTGGCAGCAGAAGACCCACCCGGTGTTTTTCACCGGGTGTAGCATCGAAGGAACCTGGGTTCCGATGAGTCGTTTAGAAATTTCATACACTAGTTTACGTGTTGAAGTTTTTCTAGGGTTTCCCATTTCATCTTCTTCTTTTTCCCTGAAGATCCGTAAAATCTAATCCCCGATTCCCATTGGCGATTATCCAAGAAATTGACATGAATGAATTCGAGCTACTCACGTTATAAATACGTTAAATTTCAAATTCACAACGACAAATTAAAATTAAAATTTAAAAATCCACACCAGGAACAAATCAGACGAATGATTCCTCGTAAAAAAGTAAAAGTTCAAACTAATTACGACCGTATCCAAACACATGCACAAATAATTAACGAAAAACTACCAAAACAAAACAAAAACAAAGACAAATAATCATTCCTAAACTCAAACAATTCATTGCTGCATATGTTGTTTATTATTCACAAATGTCCGAAATGCCCCTCAAGACGAAGTCCTCCACTGCATCTCGATCTGAATCCGTCCATTCTTGGAGTCGATGAGATGGTACCTCTCGTTTATCCTCTTGTTGCTCACAACATCCGACAGGTATATATCCACATACCCCAAAGATTCCTACGACCAAAAAAATAAACAAATTAAAAATCGAAATATGGTTTTAATTTAATTTTTTTTTGTTTAATTTAATTTTATCAACAAATTTACCTTGGGGTGCAATAAACCCATTCTTTTCGAAGTACTCGTAACTTCGATATGAACCCTTTCATTGGTCGGAGGCTCGTCCAACATGAACTGAAACTCCTCATCCCATCTCGGATCTCTATTTTTCTTTACAACCTACAAAATTGTGACAAATATACGTCTTAAATTATATTTATATTTTCGTATATATATATTATTATTTTTTTAATTTTAATTTTTTACCTTAGTTTTGCGTTCCTCGCCACGAAAGAGTATACGAGCAGAAGGATTGGTATGGTTCTTGCCCTCCAAATCCTGAGCTTCGTGGACTAAAATGACGAGCAAGCCACCGCCAGCTGGCGTTCCTTCCGGAGCCTTCTGGACCCCATCGGAATCTTCCACATTGGTCGGAACCTCGTTCTCCTTAAAGGGTTTGTAGTTGACCAAAACTACGAGCTGTCCTCTCGATTTCTCATTCTGAACATCGTCCGGATTCAGATTCTTGAGAAGATCGAGAGTGAACGTTTTTGGCTCCTCTGGTGTCAGCTCTTTTAACGGGATTACATTCAACCCCATTTTGTCATGTGTCCCGACCTGTAAAACAAATACAATTTTATTTAAATTATAAAATAAAAAATAAAAAAAAATACGAAAAAACAGATATATATATACCTGTTCCCAATCGAAGACATTGAGCTCTAGAACTTGAGCTTCGGGATCCTTAACAACGAAAGTGAATTCTTCGTTCCATTCGGGATTTAAGTTTTTATGTTTGACCGTCGTTTTCTTGGACGGGAGTTTGTCGTCTGTGAGTTTCAACTTTACATAAGGATCAGATGCTCCTAAAAGATCCTTTTTCTTGAGTTTCATTGCTCTTTGAATATTGACGTTCAGAATTCCCACCGGTTTCTTCATTGCTCTATCGATTCAGAAAAAAACATAAATAAATAAAATAACGGTAGGATAATAAAAAATAAAATTAAAAACACACATTTCAACTTACTTAGCGGGGTCCATTATCTGAACTTCGAGTCTCTTCGGCCATAGATACATATTCGCAACCTGATCTTTGATAAGTTCCTAAAGAAGCCATAAAAAAAATTATAAAAAATATACAAAGAAGATAAACTATATGAATTTACGAAAGAAACCCTAATCAGAGCAAATAAAATACCTGCACAATTCTGTATACACCAGGTATTGACATAGCATCAGCACCGAGAAGCTTCACTCCAAAGTCGACATGTGGCTACAAAAAACACAACCATGGTTAACTAACTCTAACCATGAAAAACGTACCTTCTCCATTAAGGAAACGTGTATATTAGCAAAACAAGGGAAGCTAGGAACCAGTGGCTTTAATGTGATACGAGGGCAAGCAAATACTTGCAAGTCCACCACCTAATATTATACACGAGGTTAAAATAAACTATCGTAAAGTAAGAAATTTAAGAGGTTAAAATAAACTATCGTAAAGTAAGAAATTTAATTTGTTACACACTCATTCATATATATATATATATATACCTGGACGGTAGCTTTCAATCCAAATGCCTTAGCAGCAACAAGGATGTTAGGATTAGCTGCCCATTTAAGGCCTAGTTCCATTATCAATTCCTTTTCCTCGGTGTTGTATACTTTAATTCCTGGCATTTCACGGTAAATAATATTGACGATTAAGAAAAGACGATATAAGAAATAAATATCGACTAAGACGTACGAAGGGTGTGTGACTTTTTTTAAAACCGATCATTTCCGTAGGCGGTGGATCACTTTCTCCGTTTTTTGCATCATGGAAGAGTTTAAAGTTTCGTATTTTAGCAACACATCGAATTTACTTGGAAAGATGAAGAAAAATAAAACAGAAAAAAAAAAAAAAAACTAGATAAAAGAACACGCACACGTAAAAGAAAAGTAGCGAAATAAAACCTTCGAAAGTAGGAGGTAGGCAACCCAAAGTAAGAGCTTCAAAATCGACTGAATCGATTTTGTACTTGGGAATTTGCTCAGCTATGATTGGTTCGGCTATTTTCTTCGCCATCTTGCAAATTGCCTAAGGACCTAAAATCGTCAATATTCCGTCGTAAATAATACACTACAACATAAGCATTTTACGAACGTACCTTATCCAGATACGGCCACATATATTCAATGAATTTGTTCAGCCAATCAATCTGCATAGCAAGAGATAATTAGAATCAGTAAGCCATGAAAAAGTCGTGTGAATTTTTTTTCAGACAATTGTGAAATGGAACTCACCCGATCATAATCTGGATTTTTAACCCAAACGGGTATTTCCGGGAGCAGTTGTTCGAGACTTTTGGAATCTTTCTCGACCAAGGGACGAATATCTGGATCCTGCCGAGAATAAATACGAGAAATTTAACATTGTTTAAATACGATTTCACATTCTTCAAAAAAGACTATTTCTACAAAAATGAAACTATCGAAAACCGAAAATCGGATATCCATTGGACTAAATAAAATTTCTACAGCATAAAGCCTCAAAGCTCGAAAAACGTATTTAAATACATCTCCCGTTTATAGTTTTCAGATTCCTACAGCTAGAAATTTTCAGGTAAATTTTCACAAAATTTCCAATTTCCAAATGACAATACGAACACCACATGATCAGGGTATTAACATAAGAATTTCATGGGGGATTAACTCTTCGACAAAATCGAGAACGAATAATTTCTCGCAAGAATGCAGCTAAATTGAAAATGTCAAATCAACACTCAGTATCAGTAACACACTTATCAAGAGAAACATAAAACAAACATTCACATAAATAAGAATTAAAAATTAAAGAAAAACAGAAAAAACAGACAATAAAAGAGGGAAAAAATGAAACAAACCTTCACATCAGTTGGCTGAGAGTATATAAACATGAAATACCCAATCACAATCCCAATTGTTGTCCCAATCCCAAATCCAAAAACCCCCATGATTGTGCTTATAATACCCATCACTAATCCTCTCACTAATCACCCCCAAATCACTAATCCTCTCTTCCTCCTTCTTCAAGAAATGTAACAGAGAAAATACAAAAACTAGGGTTACAAAAGGGGACTGAAAAATTCAAGATCCACCCAACCCATAAACCACTACAACACAACAACGATCCACAAACATTACTCCCACGATCCAAAAACCCAAAATTAAAAAAAAAAAAATTAAAATTAAAACCGAGAAAAACAGTAAAGAAATGGGCGAAATTCACAAGATAAATATAATAATATCACAGCCATTGTGTGAGGAGAGAGTAATTAAAGAAAACATAAATGCTTGGCCGATTTAGCAGCATTCAGACCCCCCAATATGGATCCACACATAACGGATTTTTTTCCCAAGTGTTTAGGCGCGTGGTGCTACGGATGTCGGCAATGCGGGGTAACGTACAATAACGGCCCCATGCTTTCTTTGATTCAATTGGATAAATTAAATGGGGCCTCGAGAATCAATAATTTCACCTAATTAGGGTTTTAAGATCAAGAACAGAGTATTAAAAATGCAATTTGACCCCTAAACTATTTGATAAGTCGCTTTCGGTACTTAAAACTACCGGTAATTGTGGCACTTATACCCCGGTGGTACTCTGCTGACGTGGCGGGCGTTTTTTTTGAATCTCACAGCTTTGTATCCGTTTATTTGTGTGACAAAATGACTCTTTTGTCCTCATTTAAAATCACCTTAGAAGAAGTCAAATTAAATTACTCGATATTCGATTTCTTTAAAAATTCGTTTGAGCTTGTTTTGTTAACATAATGAACAAAAATCGAATACATATATATGTGTTTGTTAAATTGTGAATCTCAACCAGAGCTCGAGCTCGATTAGAAAGATATAATATAATATGCAGAAAAATTAAGCTACTCCAGCTCGATTTGTTTTTGGTAGGTTTAATTTCCCATTTTTAATCGTCATTTAAAATACATTTAAGACTTTGTCACGTTTTGAAATTTATTTTATTTTATTTATTTCTTATCTGTCATCTTCGGACATATCGGGCCATGGATAGAAGCAATATTTTGTAAGCATAAATAAAAGACAAAATCTAAAAGTGACTTGTGACAAATATGGATCCCATTGTTGTAAGAATAAATAAGAAGACAAACTCTAAAAGTGACTTGCAAATTGCAACACATATCTTAAACAAATTGGAAAATTTGAATAGAAAAACTCGTCCCAACATCTGAATTTTTTTGGTTCAGAATCCGCGATATTCGAAAATTTTCAACTTTTAGTCACCTGAAATGTAAAATATTTGTAATCGGTGAATGGTCGGAATCGGCGATATTCGAATATACATCAAATTATGTATTGATTTAGGCCGCATTTAATTTGTAGCCCTTACATTTGTTGTATTAGATGGTAATTGGTATGGGTTTAATGGCCCAAAATAATTGGGCTTATCGAGTTGAGGCGGGCCTGAAATGTTAGGAACAAAATTCGGTCAACAAGATAAAATTATGGGTAAATTACAAAAGTCTCCCTGAACTGAACCTAAATTGCGAATGCATCCTTATCTGTATGTAATTACTGAAACCATCCAAATTTAGTTTCCGTCTTACACTGTCCCCCCAAGGTGTGATTTTCACGAAATCTTTTTGATTCGAAAGAATATTCCCCAAAAAATTCCGATTCTACCCATGCTAACGTGACATTTTCCTTATGCTACTTTTTTAAGACAAAAATTATCGCAGTGGAGCTTTACATGGAGTGTTTATTCTTCTTAAATAATACATTCACAACTTTTTATTCTGTATATTCTACTAGAATATGTATATTTTTTATTATTTTTATTATTATTATTATTATTATTATTATTATTATTATTATTATTATTATTATTATTATTATTTCATTAATTGATAAAATTTAGAAAGTTTGTTTTAATTAGTTTGGAGATTGAAATAAAAGTGTGAGCCCTTAACAAAAGCACCCATTATATATGAGATTTACACCTCGGATGGAATTAGTGTTTTTCCTTTATCACCTTTAATTGTGAAGGGGGGAAAAAAGGTTTTTAGCCTTTTCCATCATGGAACATTTACTTTCACAAATATGCAAAAGTACTTTCTTTTTCGCATATTCATGTAATATAATTTTGTTTTCAATTTTTTTTAATAGTCAACTTGTGGAATTTACATTATTTTGTTTTGAATTACAAAAATAATATTCATCGTATACATTAAAAACTCGTAAAGTTGTTTTCAATTTGTAAATAAAATACAATACAAATAATTTTCAGTCAGTATTAACTGATATGATAATCTATTTTTTTGGGCAAATTACGACTAGCCCCTTGAGAAAAGGTTCAAATATTATTTTGTTTGAGTAATTACAACCAGTCCCCTCAGCTATGTATTGTCTCACGAAAAAAAATTCTCATTTAATAGGTAAATTTGATATTGTAAGAACATACGTATATTATAAGACGATACATAATTGATGGGATATAGTTGTAATTATCCAAACAAAATGGGAGGTTTTGTAATTTGACCTGACTTCAAAGGGTTTTGCCGTAATTTTTTTTTTTTTTTTTTAAATCTCATGCCAATTCCAATTATTTCTCCACAGACGTATAAAACGATACATAGTTAAGAACTAATAATACTGTGAAAAACTGGAGAAAATACGACTAATTAGGAACGGGGGAAATAATTATTGATCGAGTTGCATTAATTAGCAAAACTTGTACATCATTGCCCTACCTAATTAATCATCTGAAAAAAATAATTAAGTAATCCATCAAATGCTTCTGCAATTTTTTAAGTTTGCCATCGTTTTCTTGAGAAGCAATAAACTAAATTTCAAAATTAGAAAAAAAAATACATATATTACAACTAGCTAACAAGAATAAGTATAAATTGAACTAATTAATGCTGGGAGACAACTCATATTAATTGGATTACTTAAGCAAGTAGCAGTATATCTGTATATATATATATATATATATATTATGTATGCTACTGATGAAACATGAGACATACATTATTAATATCCGACAGAGATATAATATGATATATGTGCTTTGATTTCTTATTTTGGTTTGGTAGGGAGAAATAATTAATTAATTTATAACATTTTTATTTTTTCTAACTTAATAATAATAATTATCGGGTGATTAATTACGTAGTGACAGGCACCGACCATAATTAAATATCGTGTAGGCATGATCGAAGCAGCTTCCTAAAAAAAATATTGAGCTAATTAATGCAAGTTGATGGAATTATTTGCGATTTAGTAATACAAAAATTGTTTTATTTTTCTATATCTTTAATTGGTGTGCTTACTCAAATGTATTTGTCACCTTCAATTATTTCAGACGATTGAGCAAAAAATGGAATTCAAAACTAATCATATAGGTGCATTGGATAAATCTACATTCTCGTTTAATAGCTTGCAAATAATACGAGAAACGTAAATCACACTAGATAACGTATAAAGAAAAATTTTCATCGTCAAATTTAGTCGAACAAAACTCGAGTATTTGAGTTTTTTTTTTAAAGTAAGTAGTCACTATTCATTTCTTGTAAGTTGAAACCTCAAATTTTCATGGAGGGTTGTGTGTGTAAACTAATTGTTAACTCAATAATAATATTCATCCACATAAATTATGGGCAACCAAAAAAATTGTACCAATTTTGTCAAATTCTATAAATGGACTACATTGAATAACGTATGTAATGGGCAAAGAAAATATATGTATACTTTCGGTGGTCTAAGATTTTTTTAATTTATTTCTGTATTTATATAGTGTTATCGATTTCAAAACAATATCAATCCGTTCATCAAAACAACGTGTTACACTTTTAGATAAGGTCAAATTACGAAAAAAATTCTCATGTTTGGATAATTGCAACCACGCTCCTCAACTATGAATATTTTTACACGTTCATTCTTATGGTGTCAAATTCAACAGAATCTTCTAGATTCTGTTGAATGTTCTCTAGTTTGTACTCGTGTTGTGCAAATAGGTAGTTTCAGGCTTTCAGCTGTAACACAATCTAATATACGAACCAAGAATTACATCTTATGATCATCTATTTCAAAATGTAGAACTGAATTGAGGTAAAAACAGGTACAAACCGAAGAATATTCCACACAGTCTGGAAAATTCCATACATTGCAATGATGAATGCGTAAGAAGATTCATAGTTGATGTATAATTGTAATTACCCCAAAGAAGAATGATTTTTTTCACAATTTGACCTTATTTCAGGGAATAACTGTAATTTACACTTTTTATTTTAATTGGCCTAAATCAATTCCTTCCACGTGAGGGCAAATAACTTTACACCAAAAAACGTGTACGGCCACGATTGATTCCAACATCACTTTCCAAGGACAAAGATCTACGGTCACCATCGCCATTTCTCATATCACCACAATCCAACGGCTGCCATGCAATCGGCGGCTGCCGCCCATACAACCTTTAATATTAATATTAAATATTAAATATATTTTTAATATTAATAATTTCATCGGAAAATCCGGACTCCGAAATCTTGCATCAGCCGACCCGGTCTAGAGTTGTCGGTTAATTAGGATGAAAATATTATTTAATTTATTAGTAATTAATAAAAAGAAAAACCACATTTTTAATTTAAATAAAGTAGCCGTTGGAGGATGATTAATTTTCTCCTCCTCTATATAAAGAAGAGCTTCCTTTCTAGATACTGAATCAACAACCCCATCTGGGTTTCATATTTACACAAATACACAAAAATTAATATTTTTAATTATTTAATCGTAATTTAATTAACATTTTATCTTGATTAATTAATTAATTTATATAAACATTAGTATTTTAATTTCTTATTTTTGTTAAAAAGAATATTAATTATATATCTTATTATTATTATCATGGAGGCGATATCTACGTACAAATCCCACATCGGAAACCCTAAGAAATCAATAATCCACCACCACCACCGCCGCCACCCTTTCATTTCAACGCCGCCGTCTGAGAATTTCTTTCCGCCGCATGATTTAATCCACCATGTTATGGGCGGCGGCCTTCTTCAACCTCCTCCTCCGTCGTTGCGCCGCCCTTTTCTGGCGTCTCACTCCTACCCACCATACTCAGTGCAGCTCCAACAACCACCACTACTTCCGCTTCCCGCCGCCGCTCACCGCCGCGGCGCCGCCGCACGAGGCCTCTCGTGCCCGCCTGCCGCCAGTAAGAAAGCCAACAGTCCCAAAAAATCACCAAAATCTCCGACCAAAAAGGAAGAGAAGAAAATTTCACCTAGTGAAGAAGCTGACATGTTTTCCGGTACGGCGGCGTTTGCAGTACTATCTCCGCCGCCGAGCAGTTTGCCTCTGCCGACTTTTACTGTGAGGCCAAAGGCGCTCATCAGCTGCTGCAAGGCCGAGGCTGCTGCTGCCGGAATAGATACCGGAGCAACTGACAATCTCCGGCGACTCCTTCGTCTCCGGTGAATATTCCCGATCATCTATTTCAACGGTCATATTAATACATCATAATATATTAATATAATATAGTTAATTAGTAAATAAAAAACACACACTGAAGAGTGTATGTATGTTTGTTTGTATGTATGTTGAATGTTGATTCTGCCAATTAATTACCTCATGTATTTTTGTAATGAGGTTAAGGAAGAAGAAGATTAATCATATAATATTATAGCAATGTAATTTGTTTTAAGTGGGTTTTTATTGTTTTAATATAATTTATTAACTGGATAATAATAAGTAATTAAATGATTGTCACTTGTGCATTATTTCATCATTCTATATTTTATGCCTGTCTTAAAATTTTCTTGTATAATAATATCATATTTTTATTTCAATTTAATCATATTCTAGCAGATTATTATTATTTAATATCATATTTTTATTTCAATTTAATCATATTCTAGCAGATTATTATTATTATTATTATTATTATTATTATTATTATTATTATTATTATTATTATTATTATTATTATTATTATTATTATTATTATTATTATTATTATTATTATTATTATTATTAATTTTTTTTTTTTTTAACAAATATAAGATCTGGAACTTATGTCGTAGATAGTATTGTGATTTAAAAAAAAAATCATTTGGGCCAAAAAAAAAAGCCCAAATAAATAATGGACCCATTAATTATTTTCATGACTTTTCTTAGCCCACTGGGCCGGGTTCACTTGGTTATATGAGGCTCATTGAAAACATTTCAATTTTTATTCCATTTATTCTTTTTTAAATTCAAATAAATAAATAAACATTCAATATTTATTCACTTTTCAGATATATTATTGCCTTTTTTTGAAATTGTGGTTTTATCATGTATTGCTCAACCGAACCTTTTCTTTTTCTTTTTTATTTAGTTGTTGGTATAACACTGATGCTATAATAATAAAGTAGGGGTGACGATTTACTGAATTGTGTGGTTTAATGTCTCAACTTATGAGGTTGAATATCTCAACTTGTATAGTTCGAAATCCATTATACTCAATTTTTACACTTATACTGTTATGCATATTCACGCTCACACACACACTCGAACGCACTTTTCACACACACTCACACTTTTGACTCGCACACACATACACTCCAACACACTCCAACACTCTCTTGGCCTCTTCACATAGAGACATATACACACACTCCAACACCATATTCACACACACATATACACACACTTTTCACATATACACTCCTATACACTTTTAACCGCATACACAAATACAAACACTACAACACGCTTTTCACGCACACATACATATACACACGTACACATGGTTAGTGCTATTTCTTACTATTATCTTTTTTTTTCCTTTTTCTCTTGATTTTTTTTATTGAACTAAAAGTAAAATACAATTGTGTGTGTGTGTGTGAGAGAGAGAAAGATCAAAAGGCAAGTGAATTTCAACTAGTCTTTGGTACTATTTGGCCCATTGGATCTATCTTGAATTGAGGATTTCCATATTATAAATTAAAATCGACCACAAATGCAATGATTCAATGCAACATCAATTTATTCTTTTGTTTTTCAATTCATCTCTCAAAAGAAATAAATAATAATAATAATCATAATAAAAGGGACCACTGAGTGGTCTACCATATCTTACACAAACTACTAATTAATATGCCATAAAATACAATCTTAGCCTGTCCTAAAAAGGGCCCCATCAATGGAATCTCATTATAATAAATAAATAAATAAATAAATCATAAAGAATAGGGTAAATTACAGCCACCTCCTTGAGGTAAAGTTAATTTACAAAAGAAACCCCACATTTGTTAGCAATTACATCCAGACCCCTGTAGTTTGTAAATTTCTTACATCTACCCCTACAAAAAAGGGCATTAATGTAAGAACGTAATATGCCTAATTGGGCCAACCCAATGGACCTACAATTTATTTACCTACTGGGCCACGAGCCCAATATTGAAGACCAATATCACCGAGGCCCAATCACCTTCAAATAAGGTTTGGACCCAACGATCTCATCTAAGGTATAAATAACGATATAATTCATTTGTTAAAGGGGGCCCTATTATCTAAAGAATACTAGGAGTCACATTCTCTCAATTATTTCTACTATCCGCACGTCTGACTTGAGCGTCGGAGGGGTTTCCGCCGGATCAACCCCCGGCCTAGTTCACGTGTTCTGTGATCGCAGGTCTCTCAAGGTCATCAAGCTCGTGAGCCAGTGATCCACTTTGCTCTTCCAGCTCATCCTACTTCGACTATCTAAGGTGATCTATTTTTAGCATCATCAGAACGTTACAAATATCAAGGGATAGATGTAATTATGGAACACTAAAGGGTTTATTCATAAATATACCTTACCTCAGGGGTACAGTTGTAATTTACCCTAAAGAATAGGATAAAGAGGAATTAAAAAGTAGGTGAGAGGTTGGTCACCCAATGCACATGGGGGTTTTTGGATTTGAGCCCCTCCACCTCCCATGTGGTTTTTTTTTGTCATTAATAGACTTAATTAACAACTCTCTAGCAAACATTCACAAATTAACTTTTAATTTTTTTTTTCTACTACAAAGTTAAATTACAACCACCCCTGCGGTAAAGTATATTTACAAAAAGACCCTCATTTTTCCATAATTACATACATTCCATTGAAATTTGTAGATTTCTTACGTTAAACCTCTTTTGTAAGGAGTGGATGTAAGAAATTAACAAACTACAGGGATCTGAATGTAATTTCTCAAAAAGGAGGAGTTATTTTTTATAAATTAACTTTATCTAGGAAAGTGCTTGTAATTTACCCTATTTTAAAATTCTTGAATTGAAACTGTCATCAAATGCACATAATATCTTGTAACAAATTACGGCGAGTCCCTTGAGATAAGGTCAAATTACGAAAAAATCCATCATGTTTGGGTAATTACAGTCACCCCTTAACTATGTATTGCCTTACGAAATACCCCCTCCTTCAATAGGTAAATTTGACATTGTAAGCAGTAACGTGTAAGACAACGAATAGTTGATTGGAATGTTGTAATTATCCAAACGTTGAAGGCTTTTTTTTGTTATTTGGCATTACCTCGGGGGGTTGACAGTAATTTGCCATATCTTGTAATAATTCTGATGAAGGGTTTTAAAATAGTTTTTAGGAGCAAGTAGGGAACCAGTCAAATTAGGTAAAACAATTTTCAACCAAGAAAATTTCACACACACACACACACACACACGAGAGAGAGAGAGAGAGAGAGAGAGAGAGAGAGAGAGAGAGAGAGAGAGAGAGAGAGAGAGAGAGAGAGAGAGAGCTGTCATAAAAGGTCGGGCCTTTTTAATTGCCAGCAAAGTACAGAGCACTGCATTTCTGTCCTCAACCACCGGAGGCCACACACACATACACAGCAGGTGAATATAATTCTCTCGTGTCAAGTTTTCACTTCTTATTTCTTGAATCTTGATTTTGGGTTTCAGGAATATATAATTAAATTAAATGTTTTAATTGATGAAGAACTAGAGGTTGGAATTATGAGTGCGACGAGGTTCATAAAGTGTGTGACAGTGGGTGATGGAGCTGTCGGAAAAACTTGCATGTTGATTTCTTACACCAGCAACACATTTCCCACGGTCAGTCTTTTTTTTCTTTTTCTTTTCTGATTTAATTAATTTCATCAAGAATTGGGTTTCCCCCAATTGCATTTTGAGGGTTTTCTTTCCCCTAATTCTTGATTTATTTATAAATTGTAAAGTATGTTGTGAAATGTGATTGATGATCAAGAATTCAGCTTTACACTTTTATTACATCCAATTTACATTTTTTTTTCTTTCTGTTTGTGTAATTCAAATATGGAATCACTGTGTGTGTGTGTGTGTGTGTGTGTGTGTGTGGATGCGCGATTAAATTTCGAACCCCAATTTACCCCTCGTATTACAGGATTACGTCCCTACAGTTTTCGACAACTTCAGTGCAAATGTAGTTGTGGATGGCAGCACAGTCAACCTAGGACTATGGGACACTGCAGGTAATAATAATTTTATTTTCGACATTTTTTTCTCGTGTTCCGGAACATTTTCTTAGTATGAATTTGCATAATGAATTAGGCCAATGAGGATTAC